CGTAAATATTCTTTTTTTATTTTTATTTTTTAGAATGAAAAATAATTTTATTTAGATTCTTCTGAATGATTCTATTTCAAAACAAGTTAAAGCAATAAAACATGGAAATGAAGAAATTCAATCATCATCACATATTCTTATTCTTCTTTATACAAGTATTTTTCTTTCTAAAAAATATTGTAATCTAAAAGCTGATAATATATTTGGTCAAACTTGTCCATCAAAAAGTCAATGTCAATGGACATGTGATAATCGAAAATTAGGTCAAGCAGATGCAATTATTTTTCATGCATATGATATACAATATTATCAAGGACGAGTACCAAATCGTTCTGAAACAAAAAAAAATTCTATATGGATTTTATGGTCAGATGAACCACCTTCAATGGTCGATTATACTTTATTTCAAGATTATAAATTTAATTGGACAATAAGTTATAAATTAAATAGTGAAATATCAATAGGATCATATGGTTTATTTAGTAAACGAAAAATAACATTATCAAATACTGATTTTAATCGATGGATTGATGAACAATTTAATGAACGATCAAAAGGTGCACTTTGGTTTGTATCAAATTGTCATTCAAAACAACGTTTAGAATATTATTATAATTTAAAACATCAAAAACTCATATCCGTTGAAGGTTATGGCCGTTGTGTTGATTATTATCCAATGCATTTTTGTCGTGCTGGTAGTCAATGTGAACGTGATTATATGTCAAAATTTAAATTTTATTTAAGTTTTGAATCAATAACATGTCGTGATTATATAACAGAAAAATTTTTTAAAGCATTTTATCATGGTCTTATTCCTATTGTTTATGGACCTGATCGAATTGATTATAATCAATTAGCACCAGCTGATTCATTTATACATATTAATGATTTTGATAAAGATATGAATAAATTAGCTAAACATTTACAAGAAATCCATTCAAATTATAATTTATATGCAACATATCATCAATGGAGAAAAAAATATGAAGTTATTATTGATCCTAAAGCATTAGAACGAATTCGTATGTGTGAATTATGTGAACGTTTAAGTAAAATACGTCAAGATGATATTACTTATTATAAAAATATTAAACAATTTTATAATGAAAAATGTTAATAATTAATTATTCATAACTTGATTTTCTAATAAAATCAATTATAATTTTAATTGTTTATTGAGTATAGTTAAGAAACAAAAAGAAATAAAAATAAAACGAATCGAATCAAAATTTTCTAATAATACGATGAAATAAGATCAGTTTCGATCATTTTATTAAGACGAATTTCATCAAGTCCAATTAAACCATCATATACAGATTCAAGATCTCTTGTAGATGAAGTTGTTAAAAGATTTGATGTTTGTTCATGTGATTCTTCAATTTGAGTAAAACCAGTTGATTTTTGAGAAGATGTTCGAAATAATTTTATTGATGGTGAATGTTGATAATGTTCAAGTTGTGATAATGAATAACGAGTTGTACAAACTCTTTCTGGCCAATATAATTGTGCTGTATGAATTTTATTGTAAAGACATAAACTAACTGCTCGTGCAACACGTCCTTTAAGATCTCGACTAAAATTAAAGATTAAGTTATTATAAAAGTTTATAATTTGACTTTTTTTTTTGTAATTAAGTCAAAGATATTTACTTATTGTGTGGAATAATACGATAATCATTGTCTTCTTCTTCTTCTTCTTCTTCTTCTACATCATCGACTATTGTAGGAACTTCTTCTGTTTCATCTTCAATTTCATTGTCTGGAACCAATAAACGTTCAAGTTCAAATGGTTCTATATTAAAAAAAAACAAAAAGAAATTTTAATTTTCAATTTTAACAAAATAATAAGATGATTTTATATCAAGAGATGTTAGTGGAAGGGTTTTTTTCTATTATTTTGAAGACGCAAATTCAAAGTCTCTTATCAACATCAATGAATTACTTTGCAATCAAGAAGAAAGTGTCGCTCATGACAAAAATGTTTTTTTTTCGTTGACATACAAACACAATATACCAATGTCACACGTTTGCTCCGCAGGTATAGCATAGTACATTTAAGAACCGGGGGTACTGCTAATGACTTTCGATTCTAGTTATGAATAATTGCAGAGCGTTGGTATTTTTTTTTACCTAAATTCAAATTGATCGAGAAGAAAATAGTTTCAGAACTTATTTTATCAATAAAAATATTTTTTTGCTGGCGCCATCTAATCTCATGGCTGGGATCGATTTGAACTCTGTAACTAATACAGACAGTTCAGACATATCAACATTATTTGATACAATTGTACCATGATAAAACATTTTCAAAAACAAAAAGCGTACATTATACCGATTAGTATTCTGCTATGATTTGATTGACAACGAAATACAATCGTATCGTAGTGTGGTTACGGCACAATATCTTGCTCTTTTTTTTTCAAAACTTTTATCATTTGATTTATAGTTTTTCTTTTTCCAAATCATAATTCTTATGGATATTTTAATGAAATCGTTAGCTATCTAAGTGATATATCTTCTGTCACATACGTACACAATTATTTATTATCCGAGCATCTTTTCTTCTGCTTCAAACGAACATTTTTACTATCAGTTAAATATGTATTTCACGTCCTGAATAGCTTCATTATAATCCTTTGATTCTAATGATGTTCAAAGTCCTCTCTGATTATACTACTAGTTTCTGTAATGACAAATATTTTACCTTCAATCTGATGTTTTTCCATAGAATAATCATCTATTTCTTTGATCAATCGATCTAATGTTTGTTCTTGCTAGAAAATAAAAACAAAGTTTTATAAAAAAAAATTTTTTTCTTTTAAAAAATTTCTTACTAAAGATAAAACAAAACGTAATTGTTGATTATCAATAATTGCATCATTTAAATTTTTAATTGTTAATAGAGTTTTTCGAGAAGTATTATGATATAATCGAGTTGTAAGTCTTAATTGTTTTTTTTTCGAATATGGATCATGATAGACTTCAACAATCTAAATTATTATTACTTTTATTTTTTGATTTTGGTTTTTAAAAAATATCAAAACTTACTTTTGGTACAAATACTAAACATACAGTTACAGTTGTACATATAACAATAAAAAATGATA